TTTGCAGTGTGGGTATTTATAACCTGCTCTAATAAAATAATATGCTGTGAAATTGGATTTCTGCTAAATCACATTTCGTGTGGCAGTATTACCAGTTGTCCCAGTTTTAACTTGAGTCCTTACTCATGTCATCGGCCAAACTGTAAAGTACTAAATTCCTTTGTGATTCCACTTTGGGACTGAATGTACAGTGAGCTTTTCAGCGCCTTTGCTACATATTTCCAAACCAACATTTGAATTGCACATATACTGTATTTTGTCCAACCTAACATGCCTCTAACTGGGAAAAGGCACTGAGTCTGTGCTAATTACCTGCTGATTCCCAACCTGCCATTCTGCTCCCACACTGTGCTCATGCATGCATGTATACACCCACTTCTGCAGGGGTTCCTTTACTATTTCTGCTGACTTTTACAGATATCTTATTCCATTGTATCCCTTTTGCATGTAAATGTGTTCAGCTGAGTGCCTCAGGCTTTGTTTGACACCTGCAGCTAGAGAGGCCCCCATAGGGAGACCTGAGGGGGCCAACTGAGCTGTGGTGCAAGGTGACGGTGTGATGTTCAACCAATGAACACGCACAGCATGCCGCAGATTCTTGAACCTCCTCTGACCCACTTTGTAGGGTCTCATAGCTGTTGAATATCCATTTCATACTCAGTGGGAGGGTAAAACAAAGCCACCATACCATGACATCAGTGCTTTTAAATTCTCCAAAGATTGATTTACTTACTATTCACCAGATTAGTAAAATATTATGATAATAAAGGAAATGGTATGCTAATAGTGTAGTGGCAATAATAGTGCCCAACAGTGTTCTCAAACAGGCTTTTGGATTATCATGTTTTTTTAAAAAATGTGGTTCCAAAGTATTTCTTTAAAACTTTTATATTTGTGATTAAATAAGCTATAAAGTAATTTTATTTTCTATGTAGGTATGGTTTCAGTGGATCTGACAGTGGCATATCGCTGGCATCATAAGCATACCCAACAGCTATCATAGGATTATGGTGATTATTTTGTAATGTTATGATTGGAACGTGGATCCCTGCCAACTACAGACCAGTGTGAAGAGCACAAACAGAACACACATGCAGAAATCTTTAATGTAAAATAAAAATGCTGGACCCCATTGTTTATACGAATATTGTTATAACCTAGCTTTTCAGGACCAGGAGGATTGGTGGTGCACACCAAAACCTTCAACATATCTGAGATGTTATCAAGCTTGTGAAATGCTGACCAAATGTTTGTCCTGTGTATTTTTCTTCCCTACCATCCAATAATAAGCTCCACCAAAGTGTTTTTCCGTGTTCAGGGCTTGATGGAGGACGATGCATCTCAGAGGAAGTTGGTGTGCATTGATTTATGAATATGAATAATGTAAGTGATGTCCCATGGGGGTGGTCTAATGGCTTTTGGCTGGTGTTGTCTCCTGGGTGCAGTTCCTGTGGGAAGCTGAAATGTAAATATTGTAAGGAGGCAGTTACTCAGGTGATACTAGTGCTCCACTGATAGACCCCCTGTATTGTATGGGTTGTGATAGAATTAGGCGATGCAAGGATTTTGCAAATAAAAATGCTGCGTGAGAACACTTGGTTATGTAAACACTGTATAATTTGATTAGCTTGGCTAAAGTCATATCATTTTAATTTTTTTTGTCAGTGACAAGGAAACCCAGAACACAGAGTTCATGGATTGCTGAACAGAGATTTTGTCATTGCATTCAGTACATCTGTGCAAATATTACTTAAGCATTCTCCTCAAAGCCCCGCATGAATATGTCCCAATCTTGTTTGCTGTAAGGGGTCACTGTGTAAACCGGTTTTTAAATACACTCATACCCATCACTTTGCCAGCCAAGGACAGGCAATAGTCCCTGAATCAGTCATTAATCTTCAGACTTCATTCATTAACATTGAAGTGCTCCTCACCAAAATGCATCATTTGTATCTTTGAGGCTTGACAAATGTATTGCATCTCCTTCACCAGCCCTTTTTTAAATATAAAAATAAATAAATTGTGCATTGTTTACACCCACATTTGCTAACCTGCAGTCTTCTTTTTCCATTGTAATGCTACTTACACTTTACTGTTGTCCAACTCTCGGTCAGTGATGGGGACCCATTTGTAAAAACACTCCCCCGTAGTGTTACTACTGGTCTAAAAACTTTGACAACCATTTTGAGAATTAACATTTAGTCATTTATCAAGCAAAATTGCTAAATATTCACACACTGCAGCATCTAGAAGGGAATGATTTGCTGCTTTTCCCAATTTTTTTTTATCATAATATATTTCTTTAGGTGTTGGACCATAGGTTAGATAAAACACTCATCAAGTCACCCTGGAAACTTAAGAAGGATATTTTAAACTTTACATTGTTTTACAGTTTATATAAACAGTTAATCAGCTGATTTAAAAAAAATTAAAAATCAGCAGATTGACCAGTATAAAAATAGTTGTTAAATGCAGCCATAGTTCAAACTTATTTTATTTTTTTTTACAATGTCTTTTTCCCATTAACTTTCAGTCATCTATCGTACACTCTGTTCTCCCAGTTGTCTGGTAGCCCAGACAGTCAGAGAACTGCATCAATCAGCCCTTGTTTCAGTCCCTTGCTACACAGCAGCAATCCTCTCCCTCAGCTCCCATCCCATTTTCCTCCAGAGAGTTTCAGGTTTCATTGGTATTCATTGTCAGTGCCACCAACATACCAGAGTGTGTTACATTCTCATTCTCCTCATCATTGACAGTATAGATCCGTGTGATTTTCGGTCCAGTCGCCCACAGTCCTGTCAGTCAGCCAATTCTTTGTGGCTCCAGTTCTCAGGTGTATGGGGAACTTTCACAGGATATGAGGTAATCTAATACCCGTCTGTCAGGGCTGCACTTGCTCCTATCACCTCTGGTAGCCTAGTTGTCATATATGCCCATAGGGATTTGTAAGAAAATGGTGTAAGATTAAATGCAGAGACAAGGGTTGTATGATTCATCATCTGAGCAGTCAGAATGGAACACCTGGGGTTGTGTGTTGCATCATTTGTTTGCAAAAAATTTTGTAGGCATTTGGTTAATAATTGTTGATCACATGAAGTCTTCGGTGTAAGGATGCTTCTCTATGCAGTAATGTAGACGAATGGTGGAGTAAAAGTCAAGGGCAGGCGGTTTTACTGGATTTTAGTCGGGTTTAAATGAAGTTGGTCACAAGCCCCGGGTGCTGTGTTGTTAAAAAATGTTATTACTTTTTGCCTGTTGTAAACAATTTTCATTCTCATTTCATCCCTGAATACATTACTGGCTCATGCTCAGCCTTTTCTCCCCACAAAACTGCATTTTGTTTAGTGTTCATCTTCTACTTTCAGTTTATCTCACTACCATTCCCCCTCCTTCCTCCTTCCTTTCTCCTCTCACTGCCATGGCAGTGTTTTGGCTGCTGTCCCGTTGCTGTGAAGAGACCACAACAATGGCCCCTCTCTGTCAGAGCACATCACTGCCCGAGGAATGCTTATTTAATAGTGGCATGCTTCGAGAGGGGAAACACAATGTCTTGTCTCCCAGCTGAACTCTTTCGTAGACTCATACTGCTGTTGTCTCAGGCTATCAGGCTTCGTCTTACTCAGGGTCATCATTAGTAACTGCCTGCATTTCCCAGACCAATGACATAGCCTTTATGTGAGCCTAGCTGAGCTCAAACAATCTTTGCCACAAGGCCTGATATCTCACTAAATGCTACTTAACATCTGTAGCTGCAGTAGTGAGAAGTCAGCCTCTTTATTTGGCCTACAGCTATTCATACAGACCTTTGTCCAGCTTTGTGCCTCTTAGGTTTAATAATAATCAGAGTTTTACTTAGAGGGAAGCAGTGTGTTTGAAAAAAAAAATGTTATATGTCTTGTTTACGAGTAGATTTGTATGGCTTAAAAAGCACACTATACAGCACACTGTATAGAAAGCTATAATCAATTCTCTTTTGAAGTTTCACAGCATTGGTCTCGCGGCTCATTGGTGCTCTTATATGCAAACTGTTGAATAGCGCAGCATTTGTAGAGTAAATCTTCAGGGCATTCACAGTCTCAGTGTGACAGCCCCCTACTGTCTGTGTTGTTTTTAGCCAAAGTCTGAATAATTTACAGCATGTTGCCCCAGTGTTTACCTTCAGAGACTATGCAGAAGAAACTGTGCTCCAACATGGTTCCACAGGGAACGCAGGGGTACAGTGCTGAGTGGACAAAGCCAAGTGTCCCTCCCATGAGGGTCTTTGTTTGGCCGTCAAAGCCGGGGCAAACTAATGTTTGAGTTGGAGATTCAAGTAGCAGTCTGCCAAATGTGAGTCATAGAGCTGTGAGTGAAGCTGCTGTCCCAACAAACCAGCCCAGCTATTCTTTTATCAAAAAACTTTAAAATCCCAAAGTAGAAATGACTCGTAAGCCTTAACTGGCTCCTGTCGAGTAGTTTTCATCAAAAAGGAGTTTGACTACTTCTGGGAAAATGATCCCTTGGATTCTGTTTTCCTAAGCAATTAATTTCACCTCAATAGAATCATCAGGATGCCAAAAAGCAATTACTGTGTTTTGTTCTGCCAGGGAGTCAGGCCATTTGCTTAGGCCGGTCTGTCGATAAATCAGTTGCGCAGAGTAGAGATGGTATTAAGCATAGAGTTAGAAGGGGGCAAGACCTATTATCTTGTGCTTCTGAGGTCATTTAGATTGTTTCTTTGGGGGTTTTCTGTTTCATTGTGTTGTTACAGTGCTGGTATTTGAGTTATCAAATTAAACAATTTCTCCAAGAAAACAAACTTCTCCTTATAGCCAGGACTCCACCCCTTACACTCGATACTTGCAGCTCTTGAGGAAGTTTACGTCATCCACAGTAAACTACTTCATAGGCCCAGCAGTGGGAGGAATGAAAACCAACTGGTTTAGTTCTATCCCTGTGCTTGTCTTACCTTTTACCTTGTCATTTACTTGTATTTATTTTGTGTCTTTCTCTTCGACCAGCACTCCACTCAGATCCGAACACAAACCCAACAAGGCCTGACCCGGAGGGGGAGAGCAGCCCCCCGAAGACGGACATTACAGAAAGAATGGAGTCTCCAGCTAAGAAAGAGACCGACCGGAGATTGACTACCCCCACAAAATCTGACACCCTTCCTCGATCACCTGGGTCACCTGCATCACCTGTCCCCAGGTCGAAAAGGAAGGAAGGTAAAGGAAGACAGAAATTTCTCTTGTAAAGTACTTTTATTACATGTATATAGTATATAGACCTTTATATATAGTATAAAGGTCCAGTGTGTAGGATTTAGTGGCATCTAGTGGTGTATCACACACCCAACTCGTTCCAAGCATACAGGAGAAACTACGGTGGCTGAGGAAACTCATGAAAGGTCCTATCTAGAGCCAGTGTTGTTTGCATTCTGCGCTACTGTAGAAACATGGTGGTGAACATGGCGGACTCCATTAATAAGGACCTGCTCCCTCTGGAGATACAAACAAAAACACAACAATTAATATTTTCAGGGGATTTATACACTATGAAAAACATCTATGAATATTGTATACAATTTCTTCCAGTAGATCCACCTAAATGTTACACACTGGACCTTTTTTTTAAAGGTAAAACTTTATAATCAAGGCTGAATCTTGCCTGACAGAATTACATCTGCAATCTGCGGGAGTTGGGTCTGCTCTCTTGAGGCAAGGTGATGCTTCAGTATCTGAGTAATAATGACCACATGCTTTCAAACACAAAGCTAAATCCAATAGGGCTGCTGCAGTTTATCTTTAAGTGTGGAACAAGCATGGAACAGAAGCTGCTATGTGAGAACATCTCAGCTTTGGGCTCAAAGATTTTAAGCAGAATTGAATTAGTAAAGAAAATATCCCGCTACAATATGGACAAATGGGCTTTCCTGGTAAGTGGATAGCTAATGCTGATCACTGCCATGCACTGGTGCCTAATGAAAGGAGGGCAAATGGAACCTGAATAGGAATCCTATTTCTCTGATGCCAAGAAGGCATTTAGTTTGACCTCCTGGCACCATAGCTATTTCCACAATGCCACCACTTGAACTCACTGGCCAACAGTACATGCAAACTCTAAGGAACATGTTTGAGGGTTTTTGGACTGTAAGCCTCTTTTCTTTCTCCCCTTTATTCTTTATCCATTAATCCATTCACTGTGGTCATGGTCTTTATTCCCTTAGCGTGAGGTGATGGGGATAAACACCCCCCCCCCCAAAAGCCCCAAACTGCTCCCAAAACTGTAACAATGCTTCCTGTTTCAATACCTTGTTATGGCTTTAATCAGTTATATTAAGACTTTCTGGTCTATGTTTATTTGCCAAAGTCTGGTCTATTTTAGAGAAATATGCAGTTAAGTCCTTAGTCTCCTGATTCAAAAAATGAACCACACTTCCCTTTTGTTCTTCACGTTCCTTTTCCACCAGTTTTGTAAAGCTCATTACTTGTGAGGTTTTGCACCACCCAGAGGGGTATAATGAAGATGAAAAGCACTCTGTGGATCCTTAATTAGTAAAAAGAAATGGTGAGGCTTGTAGTTCAGTTGGGAGCCTACGCTTCTGGTAATGGCCTGCTCAGATATATTTAGTCACATCTCAAACATTTTCCTGATTTTATTCTGTCCAAGAGAACCTCCTAATGTAAGTGGTGTCGAGGGTTGTTCAACGGTTATTTTTGAGTATGTTGAGTTGGAGGAAAACCTTTTTGTAAAAATTTTCTTTATTGTTTCTTATGTGTGTCTATGCAGTATACCCTGCCCTGCTCCTGTTCTATCCCAATTTGGAGGCGAAAAAAATTGCACAGAGGTGACATTTTGAGAAGATGCCAGAGTGTGTGTGTGTGTGTGTGTGTGTGTGTGTGTGTGTGTGTGTGTGTGTGTGTGTGTTCACAGTGTGGAGCCCAAACACAGCACCTAGCAGCATTTAATCTAGGCCATTCTGTTTTTGTCTCGGAAGCTTTGTGCATGTGACGTTATGATTAACATGGTGGTGAGTTGCAAACAGCAGCACATCACACTGACCAAGGCCGTGCACATGGGCTTTCCATAGTCCTATAAATATCAAAGTGGGTCAGGAGTTGTTCTTAGGGGAGGCTGTATGGCAGATTGTTTTCGTGCTTATGATTCACGCCTCCCCCCATTACACATTGCTGAAGGATGAGTTCCTTTGTGTTTGATGTTGAACATCTGGTCTGTGAAGATTGAAGGGGATGATGTAGTGTGAAGACTCAAGAAAGATCAAGACTGTAGCTTGTGTCTGTTATTTGTGGTAGTTGTACACTTCAAATGTGTGTATACATATACACCAATCACCCATAACATTGTGACCACCGACAGGTGAAGTGAATAACACTGATAATCTGGTTATCATTGCACCTGTTAGTGGGTGCAATATATTAGGCAGCAAGTGAACATTTTGTGCTCAAAGTTGATGTGTTAGAAGCAGGAAAAATGGGCAGCGTGAGAAGCTACATTGACATGGGCCAAATTGTGATGGCTAGACGACTGGGTCAGAGCATCTCCAAAACTGCAGCTCTTGTGGGGTGTTCCCGGTCTGCAGTGGTCAGCACCTATCAAAAGTGCTCCAGGGAAGGAATAGCAGTGAACCAGAGCCAAGGCTCATTGGTACATATAGAGAGCGAAGGCTGGCCGGTGTGTTCCGTACAAACAGACGAGCTCAAATTGCGAAAAAAAGTCAATGCTGGTTCTGATGGTGTCAGAACAGTTTGTTGTGTATGGGGCAGCATAACATTCTGACCACCAGGGTGCCCAGGTTGTCTCAATGTTATGGCTGATGGGTGTGTGTATATATATGATTTCACATGGTAGCTGTTTTGATCAATACACATTCCAAACTATTATTTTTGTGTGGGCTGCAGAAATAAGTTGTATTTAGGGAAACACTATCAAAGAAGCACTGACACTGTTGTCCAGCTGCAATTCTGTATTATGAAATGATCAGTAATGAGAAAGCATACATTTTCTGTAATCATATTTGTGTTGCAGTTGACAATTGGGCTTATATTTATTATTGATCGATCATTATTGCCATTTCTGGTTATTAGTTTTCTGCGTGTCAACTACCTGATGAATTAAATATTCTTTGGAAGACTCTCAGACTTCTCAGGAAGTACAACCAGCTATCACGAGAGCATGCAGTTTGAATTCTTGAAATGGCTCCGTTCAGTGTTTGTTTGCATTGCTGTCCCCTTCGGCTTTTTTTCACTGAATGGTTCCACTGAGGTATTTGAAAGGGCTGTTTGCAGACATCAGACATGTCGCAGAGAGAAGACCTACATGTAAGTGTTCCCCTGCAGTCATAACATATCACAGTCAAACATACACCCACATGCAGATGGCATAGGAGATTTAGTGAGGCTGCCACATGCTGCAGCTTTTATGTGGGGAAGATGTTCCTTTAAACATTAGTTCTTTGTGTTTTTTCTTCATCCAGAAATTATAGTACACATTGGCTTTAGCCATTTGTTGAGCATCAGTGTTGAAATGTTGACATTTCCAGTTTCCTGTCATTGTCTTGTGGCATGTATTTCCTTGTGGTGAGATTTTTAAAGTTACAAGCCACTGCTGTTCTGACTTTACAAGAAAACATTTAGTCATATATTTATGTTTATCAGAGGGCAGCTGCATCATTGCTGCCTCTGGTCAGTTTAGGGTTGAGAGAGGATAGAAAGGCAACTGTACAAATAATTGTACATTTACACAATTTTGAATATTTTGTAATTCTGGTAGTAGTAAGTGCTTTGCTAATAAAATACTATTTAGATATAGTGAACAATGATAGGACACACACTTTTCTCTTTTCACCATAGTGGATATGTAACATTGTGAAAACTGACTATAATGTTGTCTCAGCATAATAGCTCTCAAGGAATGATTCCAGCTATGGTGAGCTTGACTAACCAGCTTTAATTAGATTCTTAGGAAGAACCTTTTTAACCTTTGTTGTTCATTTATATGGAAATAATATAAATGAACAAATTTCTTTTTGCAGATCAAAGGATATTGTTTGTTTTGAGCTGCAGGGAAACTTTTGTCGAGATTTATGATTTTTTTTAAAAAAACGTTTGTGATTGTGTCTGATGGAGCAGAACAGAATAACACCTCTCACTTCCTCTTCATATTTCTCTCCTCCCTCCCCCCTTCAATCTCAACCCAGACATCATGAAGTCAGAGGAGAGGCAGAAACTTGCCAAGGAGCGGAGAGAAGAAAAGGCCAAATATCTTGGTAAGTGGAAAAGGGGTGGGAGGATCAGTCTATACATAGGAAGAGAGCTCCCCCTAGTGTTGGGGTGAAAGAGGTTGCTGTCGTACTGAGTAAGTTTTGTTGCTACTGGGTTGGCTCTAGGCTGCAGATGGCATGCACATGTAGCACAGGGAGGATAAAAGGGTAGTTTGAGCTTCTGCACAAAAGTGTTTGAAATCAGCAAAAGCCAAGCCACCATTTTACCAAAGACAAGTAAGCATTCGTTTTCCACATGCATGCTGAAAGGAGCAGTGTCAAAACATTTGCTTATTGTATTTATTTTGTTTGTTTATCTTATTGTTGGTTTGGCTCATTAGCACAGTAGCTCACCTCTGCACTAAAATGTACATTAATAAAATTTGAGTTTAATAGTGATATTCTTCACAGTGACAATAAGTGTTGGACAAGTGACAAATATGTACAATGTCTTTTAGTAGTTAATAAAGTTAACTATTTTGGCAATCATGCAGCTTGTTGCAGCTTTTTGCAGTGTGATGAATATCTCTCGTGACTTAACGTTGTTTGAAATGTGCTCCATGCAACAACACTGAGTCATCAAAAGATGTAAGCCTACTACATTTGAACCCAACTTGAATTTATGCGCTTTGATCAATTGGTGCAAAATTTCAGTGCTTTTCACTTGGCCATCATAACAGTTGACATGGCTGTACTTTTTTTCAGCTGATAATTGCATTGCTTTGCCCGGTTCCTTTTTTTTTTTTTTCTTTTAACACATGGCTGTCACATTGTCTCTTGGCTATACGCTGGTCGTACACTGCTTTGCATGATTGACAGTTGCCTCTGTCTTCTCTCTCACCCCTTCCCTCTGCAGAAGAGCTCAGCATGTTACAAGGTAAGCCACCTATGTGTATGTGGTGGTGGTGGTGGTGGTGGTGATGATGTCCCTTTTTCGATCATTCTGTTAAAATTGGATGTCTCAACCTAATGAAGTTCAGTAGTTTTACCTAGAGTTGGGCAATAAACCGAAAACATATCAATATGCAGATATTACGAGTCATTGACCAACCTAGCTCATGTTGGTATGTCCCCTAAAAAATCATAATGAGTCACATTCTTTGGCCTCATCTCTCCTTGATTTCACCTCTTACCTTATAAGAAAGTAGCATCTAAAATATTTAGCGCCAGTGCTAATTCTTCAGTAGTTCAGCCTGTTTTGATAAGCGCTATATAAATGAAGATATTATTATTATTTAAAATATAAAAAACATGCTTTTAGAACATATATAGCAGACTTAAAAACATAACTGAAACGTTACCATCAGTTTCATCATTATCAAGTGAAAGACTGTGCATATAGGATTGCCAACAATATTGAGTTTTGGTCATATTGCCCAACCCTAGCGCTGTTTCATTCATTTAATCCCCATAGTGTTCTTTGTTTTAAAATCGTGTTTGTTGTATTTTTTTGTCATCACAGAAACTTCAGCTTTCTCTCTCTAAACATCATTAATGTGTCTTTTGCTGAAATCATGTAGGCATAGACACTCATTCATCATCTATCTGTAAATAAGTATTATTGATGTCAAGATTTTCACTTCACATATAAGGAGACGTAACATGCCCTGACTTTGAACTTTGTCCATCCACACGTTTCCAACTACACACACCACAGAGGATTTTGTATTTAAAGATAACATGTTTGAACCACATACCGCAAAACTACTATGATTACCATCTGACTGGAGAAATTGGAGGTTTTAGAGACGCTTGCAGCCAGATTTATCTTGGCTGCGAATTTACATCTAAACAGCTTTATATTGCCAAACACAAAATCACACAGTTCAAAGTTTCATGAAGTACAAAAATATTTAAATTAGTGTTCACTTACAGAGCTGAATAGAATGGTATTTTCACGACGTAGAATTTTTTTCATTTCAGCCATGGTAAACTCACAGGGTACTGTCAGGGTGGTTCTTAGTGCTAGACATACCCTGTTTATGTTCTTTATTACCTTTTAAAGCTAGAGAGAAATTGATAAAATAGTGTGAATATGTTATCTTGACCCCAGTTTCATTTGGTTTTCTCAGATCTATATTAACACTTGAGGCCACAATATATTTACCACATTTGGACGTTTCTAAATAAAATATAGAATTAATTCGTAATCATGTCACTGATTTTTTTTTTTAAACTACCGTACTCGTACTTTCAGTAACGCCATGTTGTCTAATCCCACTGTGTGTTCGACAGCAGTAAGATGACTTTGACACACTCCATGGATCAGTCTAATTGGGACGATCAGCAGGGCATGCCAGATGGTATAGGGCTGATCTAATACTCTCAGTCAGACCTGGATAAAAGATGAGATCCTGCCAAAGCCCGTGCTTACAATACGAGCTTGAAAGAGATCTTGTCAACCATCAGCAGTAGTACTACTAGTACTAGTCGGTAGTAAAAAGGGGCACAATTAGAAAATCCTTACACATCCTAGCTTGTGTCTGGTTGGTTCCTTGTTATGTGAAAGACTTGCATCAGGGAATTGGCTGCAGCTGCACAGAAGCTACTCCCCTGCCTTGTCTGTCTTTGGCTTGATGGTATAAATACTTCATGTACCAGGGTTAGAGCAACGCTCTGTTTATGACTATTTAATGATCTTACTATACTAGGTCCCAATGCTACTTGTCAGCACTGATCACTGTCAGGAGCCAGTTGAGGAATGCATTTAAAGCAATGTCATATTAAGAATTTCACATTTGTTCATCACGTTACTATCACAAGCCCCTGCATACATGCAGAAATGACTGATGATGAACAGCAGTCTGAGAAACGTATTTAAAATCATGAGCTGAACTCATTTAGACCAACTCTCTACATAGTTTGGTGACAGTACCAAGCTACCAGCTAGTTTCCAGTTAATTTTCCTTCTTGCAACCAGCACCTTTAGTCTGGAAAACCACCAAAACACAACATATTCAATCAGCAACTGTCAGACATTGTCACAGACTTGTGAATGTGCTCGGAAAGAGTGGGTGGAGTCTTTTTACAGTAAGTATGTGACCTAAAGGTTTCCTTTGTGAGGAGGGAGGAAATGTTATGGATGTGGGAAAACTGTAATCCATCTCAGCAAGCCTTAAGCATTGCATTTGTATGGGGTTGAAGCTTCGACCTCCCTCTCATCACTGAGTGAACAAGTGAATTATGAAGCAGTTCCCACTGCCCTTAACTTGCAGTACCATCTCTACAATTTTGTATCACTGGAAGGTAAAGATGTGGCTTCTTTCAAATCGAGGGCATCAAGCTGATGAGATTTGCACTGCAGCAGATATTTTCTATGCCGCAAGGTGCTGGCAAGCAGTGCCTTGGCATAACTCAGCTTTCTGTTCCCTTCTGAGATAAAAGCCGAGCTGTGTGCCTCCCAATAAATTTTAACTACTCTAGCCTCCAGCATCTCTGCAATGATCCATCCCCATAATCTGAAATCCACAACCAGTTGCTTTTGTTGCATCAAGTGCTTTAGAGAACTAAGCCTTGCCTCCTTGCAGAGGCTGATTCTTCATGGAGGTTTTACTTTGTAGTTTAAAGAAATATGGTGAGTTGTGTACACAGAGAGGCAGCTGCAAAAGGCTTCTTTACGCCCTCTTTGAATGGCTCAGGGACAAGGCGACGATTTCCATATCAAAGTGTGTGGTTTATTGAAGCTGACGTGGAGGTTTGATGCGATTAGTGTGGTATAAAAGTGTCACTTAAGAAGTACTGTATCTGTCTAACTCTGCATTATGCAGTATTCTGTGGAAAAGTCAATAATTGAATGTATATCTCCAAACACAAAGCACGATTGAGGCAAAGGGCAAAAGATTTTTTTTCAAAGGCCGCTTTAGATTTAAAGTAAACTTCAGAAGAGCCTTGATTTTTTTTCTTGAAAATCTCCAACCTATAACTCAAAACAGATACAGACCTTTCAAACAGAATGCGTACTATACCTACAGTATTCTGAGAGAGAGATGGCTCCTTTGTCCAGTCATCTTTAGGTAAAATCTTACTGTCTTGACTGTGATTTCTGTCACATCTTAGCTGCTAAAAAGACCCAGTGGCTGGAGAAGGAGGAGAAGGCACGGCAGCTGAGGGAGCAGCAGCTGGAGGAGCGCCGCAGGAAGCTCGAGCAACAGCGAATCAAGGCAGAAAAACGGCGAGCCACCCTGGAGGAGAGACAGAAACAGAAACTGGAAAAAAATAAAGTACGTTTGGATGAGAACACAAATAATCCATTAATTGTTTGTTTGATAGTGTTGTACTTTTGCATTAATACCCAGAGGTGAAATCAATGCCTTCCCTCACTGGAATGGCAGCTGAACAGGGTCAATTGCGGATGAGGGAATCTAGGATTTTGCTCAAGGTCACTTAAGCAGGGCTAGGTGCTTGAATCCAGGCTTTTCAGGATGCCACCCAGTTCTGCAATGTGTCATGCCTTTGATGGGTGAGATATTGAAAATGCCTGATATCTATTCCTGTATCCTTTCAGGAGCGCTATGAGGCAGCCATCCACAGGTCAACCAAGAAGACGTGGGCAGAAATCCGCCAGCAAAGGTGGTCCTGGGCTGGCGCTCTAAGTCAGAACTCCAGCCAGAAAGAAAGTGAGTGTACTGATCCAATCTGGATAAACATCCTCCTAAAATAACACCTGAAAGACTCCCTTGTAATCACCAAAGATTCATATCGCTAATATGAGGCAGTTGGGTTAAGTTATCCTGCTGGATAACATACAACCACTTTTACTGGCTATACATTCTGTCCGTTGAGGTTTTTATTTGTCATTACTGGTTCTTGAGTTTCTCTGCCATTAACCTCTCATGTCCATTAGAGGAAAATTATTTTAACAAAGGTTTGCTGTCATGCAGCTCAGTTTTCAATGAGGATCATTACAGCTGACTAATGTCTTTGCAGAGGTTTCTTTTTGCGTTAAAGGGACATTAGGCTTGTCCATCAGTTGTCATCATTGTGCTGTCATAGATTTGTAAAGGAAGAATTTTTAATTATTTTCATTATTGAATGTCGTTTTTCAATGAATCATTTTGTCTGTAAAATGTCAGAAGATAGTGAGCATCTCAATTTCATTTTCTTTTTTTTGCAACATAGATGGCTTAGTCAGGTGTACAGTGTTTCATGCTCACTGCTGGGGATAGAATAAGACGTTGGCAGGTGCACAGTCAGGAATGCTGCCCAAAAAATTTGGACAGCACCGGAGGTTTGCTTTGTCATATCTTAATCTGATGTGTCTTTTCTACATCCGTCACACTTCTCCATCAACACAATTTTCTCAGATTTTTTTTTAGCTACTGTAGCTCTGTCCTAGCTGGCTGTTTGCTTTTTAAACATTACTTCAGCATCATTAGTCTCTAATCGTGACCAGACTGTATTGATCGCACAAAGTGAAAACGTGTTCAGCTGCTTTATTGCAGCAGTTGCAGTAAGCTCGGTTTTATTGACCAGCATGTTGTCAAATAATGCGTAATTTGAATTGATAAATGTCCTGACCGCTGATATATCCAGAGTCTGCAATGACTGCAGAGGCTACATAACACTGTAGAAATGATGTTTTAACCATGCAGCTTGATGGACGCTTCTGTCCCTTTGTGCCATATGTGACTTGAAGCTCTAAATCTGAAGAGTTCCTAGTTCTGTCTTATGTCATGTAATCGCCTCTGCCATATGCCAGGGGAATTATTGACTCTTTAATCAATCTCTCACTTCCTTCCTCCTTCACCAGCCTGCCGTCTGTCAGATGATGGAAGTAAACAAGCCTAAACAGGCTGCAGTGGAATAGCTGAGAGTTTGGGATGTTACTTAGGAAATGTTCCAAAGTACCCGTCTTGGCTTCTGTCAAAAGTGCATACTGCCTCATCCACTGCTTAAAAAGACACAGTCTGCTTTAATACTGAACCTCCGTTACCATTAGGTTCTCTGCATCATGTCTGATGACATTTGGGAAAAGAGCACAGTGTTGATTGCAGTGTATTAAAAAGGATATAGACTTGGGATAGATGCAAGTATTGCACATGAATGGTCTTAAGGATTCAAGTTTTTGGCCTTTATAAAGTGCCAGTTCACGTCATCAACCTTGTAATGGAGTATATGTTTCCCCGCAGCCTCTTTCCAACACTTGTTTGGTTGTTAAGATTATTTTGAGTCATCTTTTCTTGTTCATTGCGTGTGTTGGTAGCTTTGAAAGATGTTTTAAAGGTTCTTCTTTGGTGTGGTTGATATGCTTTTTTGGGATTGTATTTTTGTGAAGTAGGCATAAACCTTTGTTTATACTTTTATGTGGCCTTTTAAGAAGAACCTTTTTATAAGGGCTGTTACACCATTTCAGCTAATGTACTTTCTCACTTACCTGAATGGAGTTGAATGGAATTTAGTTTGGCGTGATCAAAGCATTAAAAATTACATTTAAAAAATGTATTAGCAACAAAAGATGTCCCAGTTACTTTGGATAATCCACAAACCTCTATAGCAAAGAACTAGTGCCAGTGGAAACTTTTTGGAGAGTAATGGGAACGCTGTTTATGTAAAGAAATGTTGCTGATGAACATTTCATAAACGCCTAAATTCCATTCACCTCAATTGTATTGAGGTTTAGGCAAATATCTCATTGACAAATATCTTGTTTTTATTATTTTAATTGTTAAAAGTACTATAAAAATAGTGTATAATTTTTTATAGTATATCCCAAAACCTGGGCAAATAAACCTGCAATGCTAAATACTGCAAGTGATTAAGTGAGAAAATAAGTGGTTTTGTCATTTGGGTGAACTGACCCTTTAAAAAGTGTAGCCTTTGAGACATTAAGAGACACAGATGCCCACCTACACACTTACAGGCTAGCAGACTGTAAAGAAGTGGACGTATTATATACACGTTCAGCACACAGGAATTTGCTTTAATGGGGAATTGCTCATGTTACAGATCCGTTAGTTAACAGCGTGTGGGTGTGTGTTTGTAAAGGCATCATTCGACCGTAACGCATGACGCCACAGAAGGTCCCATTCTTCCTCTCAACCATGTGACTTGTGTGAACATCTGTGTGGCGCTCTCTTGGCTTCTTAGGCAGATGCTCTGTGTCAACGGTCAACCTTCCCAAACACGTGGACTCTGTTATAAACAAGCGACTGTCCAAGTCCTCCGCCACGCTCTGGAACTCCCCCAGCAGAAGTAAGGCAACATCTGGAATGCCCCTCCTTCCCGTTGATTTGTGTCCATCACTCTGCCACCGCCAACACCTCCGAACCCGTCCATCATTGTCCTCTTTTTTTCAGTTCTTCCCCTTTCTGATTTCAGTCCTTCTCTTGTGCTTGATGGTTGACAGCTGATCCATTTCCATCTTCCAAAACCACTGAGTTCTTTTTTTTAATTTTACTCTCCAGAATTTGGGTCATGGGTTGTTTGACATGCTCTGCATGCTCGTATTGTAATGTGGGTTATGTACAGTGTTCATATTTTGTTTTGCTGTCTTTTTTACTGTCCTTTGGTTGGTTCATTGTGTGGTGGCCATTTCATGTGTTTTCCCAGTTAAACTGATCCTTTTGTGCCAATTTTCATCATTACATAATGGATATGAGATGTTTTTTTTTTTATGGTCTTGAATGCTTTGATTGGCATGGAGATGGGTGTGGTTTATAAATTACAAATATTTCTTTGAATCAACCTTTCTTCGTGCTTTGGGTGAGTGCACCTAGAAAGCTAACCAGGACACGGTGTACCTCTGCAATGAGGGAGAAATGTCTGAGTTTGAAAAAAAAAAAAAGGTGAAGTTAGTGAGTGAGTCAGCATTTTTCAGGAGATAATGTATTCTGAAAACTCCCTGTAGCAGGTACTGTTCCTCTGTGCTGCTGGAAAAAATAGATGGGTAACTATCTATCCTTCTTGTTGCTCTCCTCTCCTCCCCAAGATAATTACACACCCTGTCTGTGAACATTCACCTCCTCCTGCGCCTTAAAGCAAAGAAGAAGGTGTCTTACCCAAATAAATATCGATGACTCTCCACTATTCTTCTTTTCTGCCTGTATGCTCAAGGCTGTGGTTATAAATAACTGACTCACTGTCTAGACAAGCATTTCAAATAACTCTCTCTACCTCTTGGGTGGTACCACTACAGCCCAGGGTTATTACACACATTTACTGAGCTCATTTTCTTTCTCTTAAAATCTCTGTTTGGGTGGCACTGAGGTGTGTTATTGGGCTTTTGTGCATTTGATCTTTATAGCTTGTAGAGACACATTGCTATGTGTAAGGCATAACCTGAATAAATTTCTTGTTTTATTTTCTTTGGGTCATAAATCTTAGACTTTATTTTAGTATGTGTGTAATAAAGGAGAGAATTCTGCAGTGACTGATTTTAAATGGGCCTTAAAGTTCCTGTTAATATTTCAGGTTTGATCATGGGTGTTTACAGCAAAGTTCTGGTTCAACTGAGGACATTCATTTAAGACATATCGTTGATGAATGTATGTTTTCTTATCAATTTCAATCTGTTTTTCCCACCTGCAGCACGTAACCTTGCACTGAGTCCATGGGAGAGCAGTATAGTTGACCGGCTGATGACGCCAACGCTGTCTTTCCTCGCTAGGAGCCGCAGTGCTGCCAGTGTACTCAACAATGGCAAAGATGGCCGTAAGTTGAAAGAAATGGATTAACAACAGTTTCTGTCTCATAGTAAAGCCATTAAAATAAGGCTTCTGTATGAATGTTGGCAAGCTTTAATTGTATGTCTCTTTACTCCTCAGAATCTCCTCTCTGCCCCCGTTCGGCTTCTGCTAGTCCCCTTACCTTGTGCGCCCACCAGCCCCACCACCGCTGCTCCGATCGCTGGAGAGTGACATCCAGCACACCAGACATCACCCAACGCCAACACAGACGGAGCTCCACACCTGTAAGTCTGCCCAATTAGCTTTTGCCCTTTGACGGTCTTCTCTGACTGTCGTCAGACAGTTACAACAAGGCTAGACATCAAGAAACGTATGTAATAATAAGTAAGCCGTTTTCCACAAAAAGAGCACAACTAAACAGCCCTGAAATTCCTAACAGCTGATTGTGTGGGTTTACCATTCACCTGACTGTTGTACTGTTATTGACAAACTTTCACAAATAGAGTGCAGGAAAAGAGCCCATGTTTTGCTCGTTGTATAACGACCTGCAGTGCACTTTTCTTATTTTCAGTTTTTATTAGTTATTTTTTAAATGCACATGAAAAATTTATATTTTGTTGAATTTTGTCTGAAAATGTTAACGTTTTTTCATCCTCATGTCATACAGATGGACAAAAACAAGAAAGAAAAGAAAGACAAGGAACGGGAGAATGAGAAGGAGAAAAGTGCCATCACTAAGGAAAAGGTGCTTAAGAAGAGACAGTCTCTACCAAGCATGAGACACAGAGCTGATCCAAGGTAAAACATACATGCATATTTATTTTTACTTCCAATTCAGTTCGGTTTATAATCTGTAGGTTCATTTTGGTTACCTTTTTCCTTACTTGTGTCATATTTACCACCAACCTGGTTACTAATTTCATCTACCAGACCTCTATTTATGATGATAAATTGTCATGTTTACACATTTAACAAAGCCTATGAGCCATTACAGCTACTGCTGTTAGTCACTCACCCTATTTTTCACCCTATGGACAATTAATATTTTTATGGCTGCAACATACAATTATTTTCATAACCAATTAATTAATTTAGAAAGTATGTTTTTTTCAGTTAAGCAGTTAAAAATTTAGTGTACAAATGTAAAAAAACAGAGTCCAAAACCAAAGGCTATCCATTTTACAAGAATTTTGCAGTCAATTATAAAAAGCAAATGATTGTCAGTCATCAGTTTATCGTGTCGTACAAGCTCTAGATTTAAGCACAGTAGAGCTGAAAGACTTAGTTGATTAATCTGTTAACTAAATCTGTTGACAGTAAATTAATCAGAAACTATTTTGAAAAGCAATTAATCATTTCAAAATCTTCAATTAAATATTTATTTCTAGTTCCAGCTTCTCACGTGTGATGATTTGCTGCTCTTCTACCTATTTGTTAAGCAAATATCTCTATTTTGTAATGTTGATTATATGAAACAAGACGATTGAAGATCTCCATCTTCTATCAATCGTAGATTAATGGAAATTATAATGGGCATTTTCTATACAGTACAAAATGATCAGTTGTGAAGCTAATGGGAAGGTTGATCAATCATGCAAATAATTGTTATTTGTAGTCTTAAATCATGGAGGCCAAGGCTGAATACATAGCTGTGTTTTTGATATTTATACAGACATGGTCACTAAAACAGAATTGGAAACAAGGTTAACCTTACATCCCCTTGACCCACAGTTTGTTTCTGGTCAGCAGATGGGTTAGCCAGAGCGACCATGTTAACGTCTGCATTATAATGACTGCATATGTCAGGCTCTGTTTGAGTGAAGGCACTGAGAGAAATATCCCAGGATGAGTGGTCACTTCCTCTCTTATCCCCAGGCCACTGAAATAAATGACATCCATGACAGAGGGGATGGAATAGGAGAAAAAAAGTTATTTTGACTCAACAAAAAGGCAACAGAGCTTGGCAGAGCTGTCAGCGCCAGAGGCCTAGAGGAAAGAAAACTTCTGCCTCAGCATAATGGATGTTTCCCTTCAAGTGTTGCATTGCCTGTGTGTAGCTGGGATGCTGACTGATAATGCACTTTAAGGGTGATGCAATGTTTGAGTGCTTTGTCTGCCGTGAACCTGTTTGCTAAAGTAAGGTTTCTTTAGGACATGTGCCATTTTAAACATTCCAGCCCAGGTCTGAAAGAATAATATGTCCAACTTGGTGTAAATATACATAGTTTCACATTAGTCTCATATTTTACACCTGTATTTCTTTTGTTCCAGTCCCAGTCCTTTATCAAGACAACGGCCATCATCCCCAGCCACGCCTAAGGGCAGGACAGCCTCTCCCAGCCCTGCTGCCTCCCCCAAGCCTCCATCCGCACGTGGAAGCCCGTCGACTCCTAAAGGTCGGCCCAAAAGAGCCAGGACCCCTGCCAGGATAGACCACCGCACCTCCTCCCCTGTTACACTTGAAAGAGTGAAGGAACCTCGCAGGCCCGCTACCCCTGAGGAGAGAAAGAGTGAGTACAAAAAACAGTTTTTAATGGTGATTTTTCCTGACTGGACTGTACTGGCTTGAAAAGCTCAACGAGCATTAGTCTAGACTGTCTGTTCATAGTTTCATAGGGCGTTTCCATCACAGAAAACTCCCTACACTCAGGAACTGTTCCAGGTATAAAAATAGTACAAATAAGAGCAAGTTCCTGCTTAACCTTGGGAAAAGTAGTTTGACAAAAAATATCTTAATTCAAGATCTAATTACAAGCTTTTGCCAGAGCTTTCAACTGCACCTCACAAGCTTCATCAGTAGATTGAGTTTGCTCAGTTGACATAAACTAAGTGTGAAAAAGTGAGTTCAATAATTAGGTCATGTGATGACTGTGGAACAAGACAGTAAGTGGACCTTGAGTTTTCTTTCTTCTTTTTATACTATATACTGCACAATAATCAGCATTTTGATGCAATTTCTCATCCCAGTGATCGACTGTCTTATTTGTACAATGCTACGATATAGCACATCTGGATTTTGGGTAGCTTCCCCCCACGGCTTAGTCATACTGTATTTTTTTCAATAATGTTTTAGAGATTCATGAGTTCTTCACTGTCTGGCTCTGTCTTTTCCTGTGACTTGCCACGAGAATGGATTTAATGGAAAAAACAAATGAGCCTCTGGAAAGTCTGTATTTCTTTCAAGAAGCAATAGGCAGAGATTACCATCAGATTTAATTAGCCATGAAAACAAAGGGAATGTATTTAGTGAGCCACACACAGCTGCATTGTCTGTGCCTGCTTACACAGAGCACTAAGAGGCTGTACCAATCAGCCTTAATTATGTAATTACCAAGTTCTTAGGCTGAAGCTATGGCTGTTTACAATATCCAGTTGCTGGGGACAGAATGTTTCCCAGTGCATGTGAAGAGAAAAAGCTGTGGTTGAACATGTTGTTAATAATGATCAATAGGCACCACTTTAAAAAGTCGTTACTTGCAGGGAAGCATAAATAATTGCATTAAAAGGTTTTTATTAAGTTACACAGCCCAAGATCTGTGCACTATTGTCTCTTCTGTGACACGTGTTATCACTATTTTAGGTTCCCCCGTGGTACCTGCCATCGCAGTATCCTCAGCCGCTTCCTCAACCAATGCACCGAGCACGCTAGTCACAACCACTGCAGCCTCCCCCTCACCTGAGCCAGTCCACTCTGCTCCGTCTGTCCCTGCAGCATCACCTGCACCCTCTCCATCAGCCAAGCCCATGGCAGGCACCAACGACCCAGAAGAAGCGGCTCGCATCCTGGCAGAGAAACGGCGACAGGCCCGAGAGCAGAGGGAGAAGGATGAGCAGGAGCGCCGCGAACAGGAGGAAAAGGAGAAGTCAGTGGGTTTTAATATGCCTCAAAACACAACCACAGAGGGTCAGCACAGTGTTGACCTTGCATAGTCAAAGATCTGTCATGTTTTTTCACTGTGCGAGAGAAAAAAGGAGTTTTAAACATGTCTGTGTCCATGCTGAATGACAGTAATTCCCAAGCGGAGCTCCCACTTAGGGGTTTGGTCTTTTAACTAATAACTATACTATTACTTTCTTTCTCCGTCAGTCATCTCAATAATTGTACAGAAGGTCATATAGTCGACAAGAACCAGTATTAAAATTTGCATTGTCACCATCAGATATAAAGAATTAGTGTAGGTTAGTGCAGAATATGCTGCTGTAGCTTTATGTTACAAAATGACATTTAGCTATTTCCAATGAAATAAATGAAAAAGACATGAGTAAAACTAAACAGGAAGGCTCCATACATTATGAATGAATGAGACCTCATTCAACACTGCCCGTGTGTGCAAGCATTACACATTTGATAGTCTTGTTGGCTGATTGTAACCACATCAAGTCGCTTGTGATCGCTTGTTGGCAATCGTAGTTGTTATTGTTTCCATTTCCTTGAATAGTTTGGTTCCTTGTTGCTTGTGCTTCAATGTAAACTCAACAGAGATAGCGTAAACTAAAGAGGAAATGTCCTATCAATAGAATCACTTATATTTTAAATTGTTTACCACATTCAGTTTTTGGCATAAGATTTTGTAGAAAACGCTTATCCTCAGCCTTATGCCCAAACTCTAATTTTAGGATCCTGAGAGAGGAGCGAATAGCGAGGGAGGCGGAGGAGAGGCGATGCAGGGAGGAAGAGGCTCGTGCCATGGCTGAGGAACAGCGGAGGAGGGACGAAGCCCAGCGCCTGCAGGAGGAGAAGGAGGCTCAGGAGAGAGCCAAAGCCGAGCAGGAGGAGAACCTCCGCCTGCAAAAACAGGTATACTCACTGTTATCACCCAGCGTGCAGAGAAAGCACCTAAAATGGAAGTTGTTAGTGAGGTTGGGCGTTAATGTGGTGCAGTGGACTGGTCTGGTTAGTCAGATAAGGATGAAAGGACAAACACCATCAAACACCAGGTGACAGTTATAACTGCCTTTCGAGTAAAGGTCAAGACACACTCACTGTATCCTCACATCATTCCCAGGCACTTTGCCCATCACACCACAAACTTATCACTCTGTCCTATCTTCTGTTTTTCAGTGCCACTTGTTTATTGTTTCAGCTCAGCTGCTCACCTCACACGGACCTTTTTTTCAGTATTTTTTTCAGGTCCAGTATTTTCTACATTAGTGGGATGTTGTTGTTCTTAAGCAAATATTAATCCGAACTGGTGGGCCGGTAGCTACAGTCAATATGCCCTTTTTACTTTTCAGTTGGTCAAACATCCATTACGAGCAATATTGACTCCTCCTGTATTTGGCGATGTTGCTGGGGAGAAGCAGAGGAGAAGGATGCTTTATTAGTAGAAACACAGATCCAATGAAACATGAAATGTGGCTGTTCAATAGAGTATTTGTTTGTCGTGTAGACCTGTAACATGATCAGCACTGGCACTGTCCTATCTCTGGAAAGGTCTGTTATCCAGCACATACGCTTTGCCACCCCCTTGTGGTCTTTCACAAAAGTGGAATATGTGGTTAAACACGATCCAATATAATTATGCAAAGGAAAAGTATTGTATTTCACTTTGAGTGATCCTCACGAGGCTGTAAATGTTGAAAATAGATCTATTTGGCTCAAAGGTACAGGAAAATATCCCTTTTGTGGCTGTAAACAATAATTGCAGTGAGCAACCACACCCTTGTTACGTAAAAGGCATGTTATTTTGGCTGAGTTTTTTTCCCCCTTCTGCATTAAAATTGTGGTTGGATTCTCGCCTGTGTGTGTTTCAGAAAGAAGAGGCTGAAGCTAAAGCCCGGGAGGAGGCGGAGAAGCAGCGTCTGGAGAGGGAGAAACACTTCCAGAAGGAGGAGCAGGAAAGGCTGGAGAGGAAAAGGGTAGGGCAACACATCTGTCCTTGCATCATTGTTCTTTCAGACAGGTTTTAATGTCACAATTTCACAATGGAAATGCAAATTTTTTAAATAATTGAAGTAGAAATTTCATTTACAGTTCTTTCTTGATAGACCATAAAGAAAGTTGAAAATCTTTACATAGATGTTTTTGGAAAGAAAACAACCTTAAAAGGTCCAGTGTGTAACATTTAGGAGGATATAATGGCAGAAATGTCACAATATAATATTGATTGGTATGTTTTCATTAGTGTTTAATCACCTGTATGTAGAAATCGTGTTTTTATTACCTTAGAGTAAGCCGTCTTTTCTGCAGATCGCATTCTGTGCAGGCCACCATGTTGAACCACTATTTTTCTACAGTAGCCCTGAATGGATAAACCAGACGTTGTAGTTTCTCCGACACAATTCACAGCCTGTTCTCATTCCCAGGTCATCCAATATAGACGCCAGTGGTGTTCAGTTAGTTGCAATCTGAAACTTCACCACTAGATGCCACTAAATCTTCCACACTGGCTCTTTTAAAAAGCTCTAAAGTGATTGATTGAAAGGAGTAAAAGTCCTGGCTGTCCTATCAACTGCATACATCTCAGAGTAACACAAATTTAATTTTGTAGTCAGGTTACAATAAGCTCTCCTCCCTCACTGGAGGTATTATGTTCTGGGGTATGTTCACTGTGGTTTGCCGTTTGACATGACAAAAGCAGGCTTGAAAGTTGAGTCCCTGAAACCAAGATGAATGATGTTTTTGGCTTATCCTGGATTGGCTGTCTGCATGCCATGATTCAATAGGGCTTAGACTGTGTGTGAGCATGAAGCTATATATAAACACTAATAATGGAGACCTTTCTGTGCCAGTCATCTGTGTGTGGATTTGTGCTGATCTTTATACATGCGTGTGTTTGTGTTCTGTGACAATGGCCATCTACACAAGTACACCACCCACATCTACAGTAAGCTCATGCCTCTGTATGCTAGCTAAGCCTTTCTTTCCCTCTCCTCATCTTCTCTCCATGTGTCAAAGGCTCTTATTTAGGCGTGCCAGGTCTGGCTCAGCCAACCCAAGCCTGGCTCCTTCCTCGAATTAGCCCACAAGAACACCATGTCCTCTGCCCCAAAGTCTTGCTTTTTAGTTACACTGCACAACACACTGTTAGTGACTGACTTCTACCAAAACTGACTGGCCCACTGTTGTTAAACCTCAACAAAGTGGAATTTGTGATCAGCAAGCAAAGGTGGTTGAAAGTATAATGAAGAGCAACAAAGCAACATATAAGACACACAGGAATCTTTAATCTAGAGGCAGAGGTTTTGCAGCCAGACTAGATGCCAAAGCCATGAGTGTGTGAGCTGTCCATGAATAATTTTGGATCTTAAAAGGGCTTCACTTTTTATGAGTGGCAGCTGCAGTTATCGTCCCGCTGTCTCCATCTAGCTGTGTCCTTAAAATGAAGGTTGTTTTTTCTGCCTTCTATGCATACAAATTAGCCTCACAAAATTGTTTGCATATTAGTGCTGTATAGTCCAGACTTGCTGTGTTTCCTCTATTCTACTGTTCACTGTTCGACCATCCTACGCTGGTGTTCCAGCTGAATACACAAGTGCTGCTTCATCACTATTGACACAGCACTCAACCTGGAGACATAAGGGCCTCAGCTCGACTCTGCATTCACCTCAAGCATAACAGCCTTAGATACAAGAGACAGGAAATCCTTTTTCACTGGTGAAGAGAAGCAAAGAACAGCAAAATGTAAAACCTAAGTCTAACAAGGTGTGTGGGCTCAGTCTAGCCCACTAAACCTAACCCATTTTAAACTAAAGTTTAATAATGCTATTTTCTTGCAGATGTCATATTAATGACTTCCACATTTGATTGCTGTTATGAAAAGCGAAACCTTTATTTCTTAACTATATAAACACATCTGTTCTGATCCTTCACTGTGTTGGCATAGAAAGTATACAAACATGTGGCATTCTCCTTGTTCTTATTCCTTTCTTTCTTTCTCAGCGTCTGGAGGAGATCATGAAGAGGACACGCAAAACAGATGGAGGCGACAAGGTACTGTTCAGTTTTAACCCAACCAACATGCCAAACCTTTAACTTTACAATTAAAAATGACTGAAAACATCTCTGTTCTTCACAGAAAGAGACAAAGTCCTCCCCTCTTGCACACGTCAATGACAAGGAGGCAGAGAGCAGTAAAGGTAAGCTGAACATCAGTCTGAACTAGGCTGCCTCTTACAAAGCACTCTCAAGTGATGGATGAAAATCATTAAACACTACAAGCCTTTAATCTAGGAATCATTGACGGGGTAACTGTCTTACCTAACCTACCATTAATGTGTTATCTGTGTTATCCACTTAAAACAAAGTGGATGCTTTGTGCCCAGCTGGCTTCAGGAATCCACTTAGAAGTGGATTCTTACATCTTTAATTAGCAAATCCACATGAGCTACATAGTACATTTTAGTCAGTGTCTGACTCATTTTATTGTAGATTAACTCATTTTACTTTTAATACCACCTTTAGGCTGATCTCTCCTCTTCTTCTTATACCTCTTCCATATGGTAGAAAAAACAAAACACAGATATTTGTTGTAGTTTGTCCTCATTTTCCATGAGTCAGCTTCACATCGGAGCATTTTGTGTAAAAGGGTTATATGATAATAACTCTGTCTCATATCCTGTACAGCTGCAGTTTGAGTTCTTCTTCTCTGTACAACAGGACCCATGTGTGCTTGCTTGTTGTCCAAGCTGTGGGACTGAGGGAGTTAGAGAGGAAAAGTGGGCTCAGCCTGCAACAGTTATCAGACATTTACTTTTGACACAAGTAATAATTTAAGGACACGTTATGTAGCAAAGGCCTTACTCTTATCCACTCTTCCCACAACTTCTAATTGTGGAAAAATTCTGTTGTAACACAACTATTTTAAGAAGCATATAACTTGAACACCCTCTTTGTCTAAGCTTCCACGTCATGTACAGTAGATGAAGGAGATCAATGTGGTCTTGGAGATATGCTGTTTGTGGCAAAGTTCCCCAGTGCAGGAAGACATTAGCCAGCCACTGATGTGGTCGGAGGCCTGGCAGGCGTGCCTCCATTCTAGTCAGGGGTGTGGAGATCTGTCTCAACCACAGCAATGTCCTCAGCAGAGCTGAGTTAGGGGGATCTGGACTAGGCAAGTTGCCCTTTGAAAATTTAGCATCCCTTTCCATCCCGATACCTATTAAATTATATTATTAATTAATTATTATTTGATCATTAATGGTGTTTTTCACCCTGTGGTTGATCATGGAGGGTATGTTCGGATGTTGAATGTGTGTGATCATGTTGGTGTCCATGGTTTACACTGACTGGATAAATGGCTGTTATACTTTGTTTCCTCTAGCATCTACTGAATATCAGCCAAAGCCTGAGGCCAACCTGCCCAATAACATTACAGAAAATGGACAGACCAATGTCAAAGAAAGGTAAAAAATGTATTTGAAAGTTCCTTTGTGCTTATATTGATGCAAGACCACCATGAACAGTGTAAAACTTGTGTGCCAGAAAAATAAGCCAGGAGTTGAATGTTGCTGTTGTAAACCTCAGCGGAAAACACAAGGAGCCACACAATTCAGGCCCACAGTAAACAACTGACATACTGGGAGAATGATCTGGTTTCTTGAAATGTTTACTCTTTGTATTTGAACACGTTTCTTGGAGTAGATTTTAAAAGACTCCTGTAATTGGACGGTGGTGGAATGCCTCATTTATTGTATGAGTCACTCTGACCCGTCATAATTATATCCATATTCTGCTATGTGTCTCCCCTCTCTAGCAGCCCCTCAGTCCAAGTGGTCAATGGGGTCCAGCCTCCAAGACATGAAAATGGTCTATCCACTAAAGGAGACACTGCCCACTTCGGTGATATCATCCATCTCACGAATCACGGCAACACTACCAATGGAGCACGGGATAAGTCTGAGACCAGCATGGCCACCGAGCCGATCCTCACATTTGAGAGTGAGGATTCATTCATGAAAAAGGCAGGCCCTATGAAGCCTCAGCATGTTGCAGGTACAGAGTTACAAACTGCTTTACAGCACACAAAGCCTCAGACCTAAAGTAAGAACAACAATTAACAACAAAAATATAAAGGAGTAGAAAGGAAGGATAAGAATTAAGAAGGTTAATGATGTGAGTTGGTGGAAGGATGTGGAGACTCCACTCTCATATCTGGACAATGAATATGAAGCTATAGCCATCAGGTGATAAACCTAGCTTAGCATAAAGACTGGAAGCAGACAGAAACCAGTCTTTTGGTATCAATCTTCTTATCTTACTACCCAAATTAACTGATTTACTTACTTGAAAATACAATGCAGAACTATCCTTTACCTGATATAGGTATAATATGCCCTTGTTTCTTATTAGTTAAAAGTCTTGCAACAGCATTTTCACTGTACTTGAGGAACATTAGTTTCTAAGCTGTGAATGAAGGGCTTTTAGCAGTCTCAAAGAAATCCTTTTTATAGTTTGGTATAGTTTAGAAAGGGCCAAATCTTGGGTTTAGCCTAAGGTTTGAGAAAACGGAAGACATCGCTTTATTAATCCCCTGAGGGGGAAATTCACAAAAACAAAGATAAAAGAAAAGATTAAACTCAAAGATAACACCCAATTACAGACAGAATCCTAAATATTAGTAGCCAAACAACCATTTGACCAGGATATGGTTAAGCCAGGACCGTCAATGTTCCAATTGCTTTGGTTTTCTCGTCTGTTTCTAATAAAAAGTAGCAGCAGACAGAGCCGTAGTTAATTTGCAACGGTCTTGTGTGCTTATTTAAACTGATCTAGTTTTACACTTGGCCAAGTTCACATTACCCAATAAAGACTGCAGTACAAAGTACCATAGTTAGTGCTGTTGTTCTTGGCACCGACCACAAACCCGAACCTGTATCACGTGGTGGGAGTGAGTACCCCCTGAGGAGAGGATGGTGTGGCATGGAGACTCCACGCTTACACTCATAAAAGGGGTGGAGATGGGATATGGCAGAGATAGTGTAAGGTGAAGAGAAGCGGGGTATCTTTATACCGATGACAGCTTTTATTCAGCAGCCCCACGGATTTGGGCCTACACCCAGTGAGGAATTCCTAGAATGGCCAAGGCGATGAGGAGACCCTATCCACAAGTACTTTCCTGCCAGAGTTTAGGAACAGGACCCCGAAAGCAATTAAACACTCCGTCCTCTCCCCACATCAACGTCAGCAGCACCCTACTTTCACCTTCCACCCTTCACCCGATAGCCTGAAGACAAGCCAGAGGTCATAAATACTACGTAAAGCAAACAGAGGACGACTACCTTTGCTAGCGCTCTGACGTATTTCCCCAAAATCACATTTTAATGAATACTTCTTTTATCTTCGCACTCCTCTTGCCTTTAACTCAGTAGTCATGTAAAAAGTAAACACTCTCTTTCCTCATTTTTACTCTTGTAAATCTGGATACTTGAGACGTGTTCGACTTGGCAGGACCTTTTATGATGAGAGCTACAATTGGGAATATTGATATGCGAGACTGATTGAATGTTACAGTGTAATATCATAGGAGGTCAGTTTATTTTGAGGCATACTTCCAGGGTTTATTTGAACTTTCCAGTTCGTTGAGAGCCTGGCTCTCCTTCGCCTCTCATGTGGCGTTGTCAGTCAAGTAGTTCAGTGTAACATCAATTACCAACTTGTTGGCTGCATTTTACTATAAAATGTCTTCTACTTGAGTCGAGGCCTTTCCGTTACACCCCTCCCCCCCCCTTGTGTACACAACACAGTTAAGTTTTATGGGTTCTGCAACAAGTTCAACATCTTAAGTATTGTCACCGGGTCAGAGGTTTACGGACCATGTTATTATTACACATTAAAGAGGGTGACCCTGTTTTGTCTGTTCGCATGTGTTGATTAATCCTCAATGGCTGCTGACCCTTAACCCTTAACCCTTTTGCTCCCCTGCCCCTCTCACAGAGGTCCTGTGACATGTTCCAGTGTTGAAGTGCTCGTCGCCTTAGCCCACAGACCTTTCCCAGCCCTGCCAAGGCTCGCATGGGGAGCCCGGTGACCTGTGCCAATCAACAACCTTTTCTAAGCCCCTAATAGCAAACATGCTTCTCTCTGAAGATGAAATGGGCCACAGAAGATGACGACCAAGCATCAGGACAAAAGCAAAAGACAAAACGGGATGGAAGGTGTTACTGTGTGCAACACAGATGCATCAGTGTTAACATTTGTTAAGATCTTTGTGGCACCGATTCCATGCACCTTAATACTCGACAGTATCATCCTTTGTACATTACCGTACGGCTGAGTAATTATTACAATAAGCTGAAGTGTTTGTTTTCTTTGTTCTTTAGTTATTTAACTGAAAGAGAAATATAAAAGACTGGGTACATTTTTGTGAATAATGTAAATTAACTGTGTGACAGACAAAGGAGGGATGGGCCTGTAGATTAACGTTGTATGAAAGGGAGTCATTTTATGCTACTTTGCTCTGAGTAGACCTTCTAAGTGAACCCCAGGTATTATACATCCTGGTCTGTATAAAGCTACCTGTAACAGTTTTTGTAAAGTTAAACTGAGAAATCTGGAAAGAGATTTGAAATGTAAGCTCACATGCAACAGCTTCTTACTGTGTGTAAACATACTGTCTGTCTCAGCTATGATTGTATGCAGAACTGGATGTAATGAGTGTGCAACCTTGACAATTAAGAAAATAGAAGTCATCTAAGGTCAGATCCCTACAAACTAGGGATTTCCTCCACTATTTAACAGTTAAAGCTGTTTATTTCACGTGTGAGCATGACTCAGTTTTCTCTCATTTGCATTGAGATGCCATGAACTCATCTGTATTTGAAATGCTGGTGCGTGTAAATGCTATTATTATTTTGATGTGCGTTACAAGGTCAGTGGGAGTATCTTAAGTCTTATTAAAGACATGCTGTCCAGTCTGTGGTCTCTTCATCTATTTGTTGTGAATGACTTGAGATTTGATTAATTCTGGGATTATTTATGGAAAGAGAAACAGGCACAGAAACTGATCATCATTTGGGCTTGATTTTCGCTTGTTTACTCCTGAGGCTGAAAAGTATTTTGACTTTGGAGGGGAAATACCAATTCCCACTGAAATTCGCGAAAGATGGAGCGCACACTAACCACAGGAAGACAGATTCAGAGACGGTACCAGAGGGCCTTGCAGTTGATGTACAAGGCATGTGAGTTGGCTCAGCTGTCCATTTCAGTTTGGGTCTCCTTTTACAAAATCCCTGCAGGGGGTACATGCCACTCTATCTGCTGCCCCCCTCACGCTATATTCAGGTGGCCAGTGGGAGGCCTGGCACTCTGTTTTCAGCCTTCTAGGCAGCTGAAGTACATTACAAACACGATTTATGTCCCACTCTATCAAACGCTAAGACAGGCCACAGAGATTACCATGTAGAACTTACGTGATTTAAATGACTTGTAGTCACTTGTGAAATGTAACTGTGGTGGAGCCCAGTGCAGGGATGGACTACAGTTTGTTAACTTGAACCTGTGATGCACAGATATCCTTCTTACCTCCCAGTGGGCTTACATACATAAGATTTGATCACCATGCAGTGGAAAGCTCTGAGCAATGCATCCGAACTCTATTTAAAAAAAAAAAGAAAAACTATCTTGTGGATTAATGCTTTCACCAAAATGAAACAGAAACCCAAAGAAGGAAATGGCTAAGATTCATCATTAAGGAGACCCAGCATGCTTGTGACTGAGATTTAAAAGTAAGTGAGAACTGTATTTTTCAAGCTACAAACATGAGGAAAATGCCACTTTTCATTCTAAGCAGTTTTATTCATACAATTCTATTATTCCCACCAATTATTCCTCAGTCAGCCAAATGCTGGCAAACTTAGTCTTTTGACTGTGTCACTGCTATGAAATCTTTTCCAGAACAATTACAAAGACATCACCTCATATACAGCCAGTTGGCTTTCCAAACTTCCTTGAGAAAGATGTAAACTCCTGCCGAACTCTTAAGTGTACGTTTGGACAACATGATCTCACTGGTTCAACATGTTGCTACTGCAGTTGTCCACGGGTCTGCTGTTAAAAGCTGTATTCATCAACCCCACCAGAGGGTGCCGCACTGCAGCATGGGGGTGATCAAGAGCATATAACACTGATCTGGATTCATTCCTGCTCTTAAGTTTGATTTGGCAGTGTGTCAACATTGAAATTGCTCACATGCAAATCTAAATGTCTATATAATAAAGCTTCAGAGATTTATTCAAAATTTACAATCTTCTGGTAGCTTTGGGCGCAGTCGATCTAGTCAGTCCCTGGTAATGTGTAGTACTTCTCAGTGGGGACTTGAGGATTAGTGGGCACTATTTTTAGGGAGGTGTCAGCAAGGCAGTGCACAGTTACAGGCTGAGTAGTGCCAAGTCTCTGAATAAATTCACACAAAATGAAGACTGAAAAAAATAGAGTAGAACTCGTGGATGGGAAGGGTGATCCAAAAGCCACTTCTGTTTGTTAAGGATAGTGTCTGTGATTTGGATAGTCCTTGAATAACCTGTCTCCTGGGATGGCAGTGTCACTTTGACTGATGGGTACATTATCTCTTCAGCCTTCAAGTGTGCTGATCGGTGCGCTGGAGGTGTCACTATCCATGACTATATTTTTGTTCTCCTCACTGGGCAAAGATGAATAACTTCTTGTTATGGGTCATATAAAAAAAATAAAAGAGCCACATCCTGTCATGTGTGAGGAGTTAACGGGCATGTTGTCAGACCTTTGTGTTAAAGCTGCTCTGTGCAGAGTATGCAGCCAGGCTACTTTTGGACACGGGCTGACTGTTGTTTGAGACGTAAATCTCTGCACTTGAGGACAGTGAGGAATGTTGTAAATGTTTCAGAATGGCAAGTGTGCCTGCTCAGCCTCCATTTTAAACAAGATAGGGGGGTCAGCAGTGTGTCACACACAGAGTCCCACTTCAGATAAGACCACCACTGCTACAGTTATTCATACATCACAACCATCAAAGCCAAAAGCCCAACCTTTGTTCAGTGTTTATTCTCACACCCCCTCCCACTCTCACGTTGAACTGTCTTTATCTGCTCAGCAACAGGCTCTCTTCACACAGCTGCTCTCAGATGGCAGTACATTAATGAAAGGCCACAGCATGGCCAGCACTCACAGCAAGCCTGTCTCTTGATCCCGTCAGAGCAGGGCAACCTCTCAGCTATTCAGACGGGAGATGGCAAGATTTAAGAGTGACCCCCCCCATCAGACCCTTACAGGGCCCTGATACCACGGGGCTGCCCTCAGAGGTTGCACAGAGAGCCCAAGGCCTCACATCCCATCGGGGTGGTCGCCGGGGACAGGCGGCAGCTGAGTCTAAATAGGCAGCTGCTGGATCATTATCACAAACTGGTCGGATATGGACGCTCTTTGATGAGGTCCTTTCTGAGTGATGTTCCAACAAACTTCAAGTATTTAAAGAGTCTGACCTTAGTGGTACACTCTGCATTCACATTATTGTGAGCTGAGGACATGCAATGGTTGCTTTGGGTAGATGTGAATTAAAGCATGCTCAGAGAAAGTGGGAACAGATTTATTGGACAAGAAGGCATTTACTTTGCAGGGTGCATCTGTTTGGCAGTTGATTGTTATTGAGATTCCTTTGTGTACGGTGATAGCAACATGAAGGCCTGAATTACTGTGTTGCTAACAAATGTTGGATCTGGACTAGTACCAATACTTTACGATCACATCAAATAACAAGATTGATGTACTGCTCTCGGCTAATGGCCTACCTCCTGTTATCAAACTGTGTAATGGATATGGAAAGAATGTTAGCATGCTAACATTTGCTAATCGGCACTAAAAACAAAATACAACAGTGGCTAAAGGGTATGTCAAAACATTGACACAAATTGAAATGTTGATGTGAGGATGGCGCTAGAGTTATTACAATTCATCAATCGGGGGATCACCAAAGTCATTCCGATGAAACCAAAAATGTCTAGTGGCACATAATGGAGCCACTAGAGGAACTGTCGGGATCACCAACCAATCCAATCCAATCCAACTTTATTTGTTAAGCACTTTAAAACAACCAAAGTTGACCAAAGTGCTGACGTCAGAGGGCCGCATCCTCTGGGGACCATGAATGTCTGTACAAATCTTCAGGGCTATCCAAACACTAGTCACAGGGATATTTTGGTCTGGACCAAACTGGTGGACCAACTGACCGGCATCGCCGTCCTTAGAGCCACGCCGCTACTAGTTGCTAAAAAGCGGGATAACAAATTACACCCCAGAGGTTTCACATTTAGACAGCGATACAGTTTTAATTTCAAAGATCTGTTGTCTCTCCATCTCGGAGCTGACAGTTTTACAGCATCACCGCCAATCAGCAAACAGGACAAGCGGCTTCAATTTTGCCAGCTTGCAGGCTTGGTTATTTTCAGTTCATGGGATAACTGAGAATTAATCCCTGTTGCACACTCGCTGCCAGCTACAGTAAGGGCCTTTGGATCGCTCACTTCTCTTTTTGTTCCATTTGGAAGGAAAACTCTAAAACGGGGGCTCGTGAGGAGAAACAGAAGCCAAATCTGTGTAAAGTAGAAAGGGGATCCTCCTTGGTGTCTGTCTGTGTTAGTATTGGCTCAGTAAAGTAGAACCCACCTGTAGTGTCTAGTGTCTCTCAAAAGTATATCTTCACTCCACTAATATGTTGTGTCTTGGTTGCTGTGACACTGTGGAACATCTCAACCACAGGAGTAATCAAATGAAGCCGCACTGACTTGTTTTTTTCCATTGGGAATTTCTGTCCGTCTGATTTAATGTTGGGGAATTTTCTCAAATTTTAAATAGCTTTGAATTTAGACTGTTTTCTCACATTTTCTTCTCTACAAAAATTATAACCCTCATAACAAGAACATAAAATATTGTTAGAAAACAATGACTCAAGCCATAGCAAATTTTAGTCAATTTAGTTAAGCAAGCACAAAATCTTGTTCTTTATTTTCCATGTAGGAAAAAATGCAGGGAGGGCTTACCATTTTAAGATTGCATGAATTTATTGTCAGGGGGGTTAATAGGTTGTATGCAGATGCCTATCTGTGTGCTTGTGTGTGAGAGAAAAACATACAAAGAGAGAATGTGTGTGGATTTGTGTTTGCATTCCCACAATTCTGTTTGTATGCAGGATTTATGTGTATGTGCACATACTCGGAGTGTGTGTTTGCATGACACATGAGAACAGCCGACTGGGACCCTGGAGGGCAGAGAGTAGCGAAAAAGGGGGGCTGAAACTACCATCCGCCCAGCGACAGTGGCCCTGAGTTGTCAACGCTGTCAGACTGAAAGCATTCAGGTAGTGGAAGGAAAGTTTTAAAAAAAACAGTGACACATTTCTGTTTCACACCACACAACGAGAAAGACCAGCTCCATATAGATTGTGTGAAAGTAATGAAAGGGTAAAAAAAGAGACTGAAAATTAGAAGAAATTTACATAAACTGCCATAAAACACCAGGTGAACAGTTGCTGATATTGAGGGAAACAAAAACTAACACCTGGATTTTACTTTTTTCCAACAAAGAAAACACAATTTTTTAAATATTATTTTCAAAATTGTATTCTTAATGCATACATACACACAACACAGGCCACACTGTACATATACATATGCACATAAATACACAAAGAACACACTACTTAATGAGACAGTATAACCAAATTATTTCCATGCATTTTTCATTCTCTGTGATGTCCTGTTAACAGGATGTGACTATTAGTTACTTAGTTTGTTGTCAAAGTTTGTTCTCACATGGTTACAAAAATAGTGATGGCTTTCTGTAGAAGCACTGAATGTGATTAAAAGTGTGATTAAAAGTGTGCTTGCACAGTTGTGTTTTCAGTAACGGGTACTGCTTATTTAGCAAAAACAGATTATTGTAACTG